TATATATATATATATATATATATATATATATATATATATGTATATATATATATATAAAAACACTGCAAAATCCTTCAGAATCTTTGCCTTCTACAGGCAGCAGCCATGCTTCCAGCCACTTCTGTTGAAATTTTCCCAGTTTCTAGCTTTTTCTCCGTCTCGAGCGTCTTTTCAGAACACACAGCTTTACGATAAACCAGAAGAAGTTCCGCGCAAACACGCAGAATCAGTTATATCTGATAAATCTGACAAAAAAAAAATTATAAATGCATTTTTTTTTAAATAAAGCATTTTAATTGCCAAGATAATCACATTTAATATTTTTTTATGGCAATGAAATCCTTAATTGAAAAAATTATAATTTAATGACTTTTAATGATTTTTAATGACCCGCAGAATTGAAGCTGTAGAGTAGACCATAACCATTACAAATGATTCAAATAAATCAATTGGTGTGGTATAAACACATCTAATTAATCAGTTAAAAATCAGTTTTTCAATGATATTCAGTCTGTTGGATAGTAAACATCAGAACGCTTTCAGTGCTCAGTTTAGGGCTTAAAACAGGCTCACCGTTTAGGATTCTCACTCTGATGGTTTCACTTCTGCTTGTGCTAAATTTAACCAGTTCTATAGTCGCTCTGCACACAGAAACATTTCACTTTAGAGTTGCCTTATTTCTGGACGTACTTGATGGATGTTTTTCATTGCAGTCTGGCAGTCAGGCATGAGGCTTTGCTACTGTGGCCAGATATACGGCTAAATTTAGAGAGAATAGTGAAAGAATGGAAAATGACTCACTGTTAGTTTGCTCCATGTTGTTGGGAGGCTCTCCAGTTTCTTGGGAAACTCCGACAGCCCAGTAGGACATTCCTACTGGAGTCGGTGGTAAAGTTAAGCCCAAAGAAAGCACAGATCCTTTAAAGGAATGTGACGGACAACCTGCATTAAAAAAAAGCAAAATTAATGAGCAACAACAGAACAATTTACGTTTCTGATTAAACAGTCTGTGTGAACATTCATCCATCATTTCCAAATACCCCAAAATTATTTTTAATTTTTTATTTATTTAATTAGATCAAGTTCGATAACTACATAAATAATTGGCATATCAGCGGTGCCCGTTTTTAGTATGTGTGGCAGGGGCAGGGGTTTTTGTCACCCAAAGCGCGCTTGGGTGACAACAACAATGGCTGCCGCTGGAGAGTTGAGGTGAATTGAGTAGGACTACGTCAGGCTAAGAGTGGAGGCTGTGAGGATTGAACTGGATACTTGCAACCTTCTCAGAACACAAGCGCTCTGCTCTAACCACTAGGCCAACACTCCCCTCAAACCTCTATTGCCAGGCACGGACTGATAATCTGTGATATCGGGAATTTGCCCGCTGGGCCAGTCCTAATTTCAGCATGCGGGGGCCGGCCCTCCTTAAATCCTACCGGCCCCAACACTGACTCTCCAAAGCTCCTACCTGTGACAGAAAATAACTGAAGGAGCTCAAGAAGTAATATAACGTTAACTACCTAAATGATGCATGCAGTATATAAAGCCCTTCCTTGTCATGCACATCCTTGTGACGGTTGGCATATGGTGTCATTTTCTATGTCTTCAAACTGTGAAATCTTTGAAACAAACTAAGGTATAATAAAACTAAAATGCTTTTTAAACCAAGCTACGATGTTCCTCTAATATTTGGCAAATTTATGTTCAATTGTTTTGCAAAAACATTTTGCGTTGCATAAAGGGGGTTTTGCAACTAAAGGCTAAAGCAGTCGCTGTTGCGTCCCTGTTAATAACCAAACCAAGGTGTCCAGCATTATTAGATGAGTTATGGATAAAAACAAGGATATTCAGATCATATGATGCAGAAAGGTGAGGAGAAAAATGCTCAACTGTCTCTGACAAGCTTTCATAATATAGGGATTTTTTAAATACTTAATAGTTCCTGATCTCCAACAATGAACAGGAACAAACTTTAGAAGAGCCAGCTTCTGCTTTGGGATCCATCCAGTGCCTGTTAACCTTTCAACATGCTTTGTGAAAAACCACAGCCGTCAGTGAATATTACTTTTAACACAAGTTAGGGCATAAAATGTTAACTGGATAATGGAGGATTTCTTGAAATAAAAGAAACAAGAACATCAGAACTAGTGTCGGCTATCGGCATCAGGGCCAAAAATATACCTGGTTGTGCAGTACTGGCCGATGTAAAATAATTGCTGTCATGGCTTTGTCAAGCTGCTGCCATCCTTTGTGAAGCAGGAAAAAGACTAATACAAAGTGAATCCAGTAAAACTTTTTATTGCCTACCTGGAATGGGTGACAATAGTTGAATAAACTTTTGGCTCTCAAAATGGTATCTGTGCCTCATGTGTTGGTACTCTGCTGAATCGGAGCCCCTGGTATCGGTGTCAGTGCAACACTAATCAGAACCTTGTATTTCCACCTTTTACTGCAGCTACTCCTATAAGCCTTTAAGGATCTAATTTTTTCATTATCCTAATTTTTGTTTTGCGTCTCATTTCTGTTTTTTCGTTTAATTTTTGTGGTTTTAGTCTCATTTTTGTCTTTGCAGGAACTTTTAAATTAGCTATAAAACCATATTTACACAGGCCGCACGTTGGCCTGGTGTGCAGCACTGTTGCCTTGCAGCAGTAAGGTTCTGGGTTCGATTCCCGACCCAGGGTCCTCTTGCATGCAGTGTGCATGTTCTTCCAGTGCATGTGTGCGTTATCTCAGGGTACTCTGGCTTCCGTCCACAGTCCAAAAACATTAGTGTGAGTTTAACAGGCATCTCTAAATTGTCTTTAGGTGTGAATGTGTGCTTAGTGAATGTCTCTGTGTTGTCCTGCAACAGACTGGTGACCTTTCCAGGTTGACCTGCCTTTCACCCACAGACTGCCAAAGAGATGGGCACCTGCAGTCTAGGTTGTTATAATTCATGTAGTGCATATGTAAAGAGATAACACTAAAACTGCATTTTTGCTTCCTGTTATGTTTTATTGAGGTATGATGATGATGATCCATCTATATTTGGAGGTGTGCCTTCATTAGGACTTCTCAACCAGCTGAATGCTTCAACTTAGAGCTGCTATAGCTACTAAAAAAAGCCCTTCATCAGTGGTTAAGCTTAGTTATTCTTTGCATATTTCCTCCATTTTAACATTATGCTTCTTTCATTGATATTAGCACTGCCCTTTACCTTCACTGGAGCAGGTTATATATATTTTTTAAATAAAACCGGTTTTCTCTGCATCCTAAAACTTCCACTTCCTTTTTATCTGGAGCTGCTTTTGTTCAGCTTCCATTTTGAAGCATATTTATAGCTTTCTACTCATTACACTGACATTAATTTCAGATCCTCTGGTTTTAGTTTCTACGGACGTACTGCAAACCCGTTATTACCACAGCGTTTTGAAAGCACGACCCGTCTTCTCCTCTTCCTCCTCACTGAGCCTTGAAGGGGAAATTAACCCCCATTGCTTGCTTTGCATAAGTAACTGTAACTCTGCTTTTTCACATTCTGTTGTAATCTGCAAATATTTTACACCCATTGATCTGGTCTATTATTCCACTCTGGGAGCTGCTAAATAGTCTTTTGTTGCTTTTGAAGGATAATAAAAGCAAAATTATCCTACATATATGGCTGAAACAATTACTCGAATTAATCATTATTAATTAGTTATTAAATGATCGTTAACCAATTTGGTCATTAAAATTCAATCATTACAGAGTAATGGTACACAGACATGATTTTCTTGCAAAGCAACCTACTTACAGCAGTAATTAAGAGAAAACTTTACCAACATACTGTAAAAAATGTATAATCATTGAATATATACAATTTTTCCATTAAAGATTTTTTTTCTATATTAATCTTTATATAATTAAATATCTATGAAGGTATTTTTTAAGATGTTTTGTACTGTTCTGTACTTTTTTCTTCTATGTTCAATACATTTTGGTTTATTTAGACATTTTATTTTACCTAAAGCATCTCTTTTTAGATAAATCAATATAAAAAAAATCATTAAATTAATTTATTGCTAAAAAAAAATGGATAACTGCAGCCCTAACTATCTCCAAATCAAATTAATATTAATAACAACAGCTTTGAATACTGTGCTGTGAAAAACTGTCATTAATGCTGTTTAATTTTATTGGCATTTTCCTTTTCATGTACAAATAAATGATAACAGTTGTAATAAAAATTAGGCATTTTTTACCTTTTTATGCTAAAAGGTCAGAGCTAAAAAAAATAATTATCATACCTTTTAATATTAAACAACAATATATCCACAGAACCCTTAATGTTAATGAAAGTATTATTATTACTGAGGAAAATAGTATATAAATTATTGTTTTATACATTTTGATGAGTCCAAAAGGATTGTGCTCCAATAGGAACATTGGGTTGAAGTCATGTGATCCTAGTAGCTCAATGATAAGGCTGAGAAATAACTTCTTCTATTGACATGTTTCTCAGATTCAGGCCAAAATACAAGAAAGAAGCTAAATTCAACATTGGTCAATCTTTAGAGACTTGGTGTCAGTGGCAGTTCTAGACTAAAATATACCAGGGGAACAGGAGGGGGCCAGGGGGGGCCAGGATGTCTTCATAGGGGCACAGCAGAGCATGAAATAAAAAACATGGCAAGGGATTCAAATATATTAAGATAGCTGCACGAGGCGAAATTTCAATTTAATTAGGTTTAATTAAAATTCTATTCCTTATTAGGTCAATATACATTCATAATTTTGAAATTTTACATATTTTTGACTTAATTTACGTTAAATTACTGTTTTCTATAGAATCTGAATTAGAACTTAAAGGAGAAGTTCGGTTTTTTACACTTTAAGCCCATTTTCTGTAGTGTCCAGGATGAAATCGAATGATCGACACCAAAAGTTTGACAATTGCTCCTGTCTCTGCTTTTTGGCTCATTTAGAATCACCCCCTGGCTGCTTTAGAATGGCTAGCATAGAGCATGTCCGATAATGTCCTTAAAACAACCTTAAACGTTCTTTTTTTAAAATATGCTACTCACCGTGTCGTCAGCGCTGTTCAATGACGTTCCAAAAAAAGTTTCGTGAAGAAAAAACGTTCCTGTAGTGTTTTATTTAGCATTTTGTAAATCCCATTGAGTTCTGTTGGAATAGTCAATATTCCCCTGCCACCGGAAACGGAAATGGGGCCTGTTTACACAGTTGTAGTCTTTTCGCTTCACTCTGCGTACTCCGACGTCGAGAATCAAGAATCCACCTTTCGTATTCCATTTTCAGAGTTTTTTAAAGTGTTTAACAGAGACGTTAGCACCTCGACGTCGGAGTACACAGAGTGAAGCGAAAAGACTACAACTGTGTAAACAGGCCCCATTTCCGTTTCCGGTGGCAGCGGAATATTGACTATTCCTACAGAACTCAATGGGATTTACAAAATGCTAAATAAAACACTACAGGAACGTTTTTTCTTCACGAAACTTTTTTTGGAACGTCATTGAACAGCGCTGACGACACGGTGAGTAGCATATTTTAAAAAAAGAACGTTTAAGGTTGTTTTAAGGACATTATCGGACATGCTCTATGCAAGCCATTCTAAAGCAGCCAGGGGGTGATTCTAAATGAGCCAAAAAGCAGAGACAGGAGCAATTGTCAAACTTTTGGTGTCGATCATTCGATTTCATCCTGGACACTACAGAAAATGGGCTTAAAGTGTAAAAAACCGAACTTCTCCTTTAAGAAAAACTGATAAATTCAGCTGTAAAATTTAGAGCAATTTGTTTTGAAAAAACATTTAGCAGATAAAAACTGGGATCCTATGGTAGTACCACTGAAGCTATCACCTTATTGTTTTTAAATAACAGAAATTTTAAAGAAAAAAAAAAATGAAATAGATCCAAAGGCCCAATCAGTAACCATGCCTGTTCCAGCGCATATCATCATTA